GCAAGTGAGCCCAGCTCCTCTGTCCTGAGTTTTTAAGCTGAAACTCGGTGGGACAGGGTCCAGGAGAATCAGCTAGCAGTTGCCAAGGGGCGGCAGTGGGCACTGGCTCCGGGCCCGTGTCTGGCAGGAGAAACCCTCCCGTGCCAGCCCTGCGGGGCATTCCCGCTCCGCGGCCTCACGCGTGGGCTCGGCTGTTCCGCAGGTTTTACTCCCATCTAGCGGCGGATCCCGGCTCCATGCGGGCCCCGGCAGCCAGGAGAGGACATCCCGCGGCTTGGCTCGGCCGGGGCAGTCAGGGCCCCTCGCTGTCGAGGGGACCAGGTGACACAGGCGGGGGCTGGGGGCTGCCCTGAGCGCGGGCCCTCTGCACGGCTCATCCCTCAAGGGGTCATCCCTCAGCCTCTGATCCCAAGGGCTCTCCCACCTCTTCCACAGAGCTCTCAATGAAAAACTCATTTTTGACATCTACCCCAGCTTCTTCCTGAGCCGCAACACCTCAGTTTGGGCTTATCCCTCCCCTTCCCAGGCCCTCCTCTCCCCCCAAAGTTTGGATCCTGCTGGATGAGACCCCAGCAGACATGGACAAAATGGGCCATGGACCACCTGGCACCATCAGCAGGAGCTGCAGCAGGCATCCGGGAATGGAAATTTGAATCTTTCTCAGCACTGGGCAGCCTGGAAGGGAATAAAATGACACCATTCCTCATAGCACAAGCTCATTTTGTTAGGCACAAAAGGTCAGTGTGGAGAAGTTCAGAGGGTAGAAACCAGTGAAGAAAAAAATCTAATACTCATTTGTGAACCAAGATTAGCTTTACAATTTCTCCAAAACCCTGCAAGAGTGTCTGATAGAACAAACAGCTCCAGACAGTCTGCTCTTGCAAATACTTTGTCCCAGCCCTGAAACACAAGGGTTTTCCTGGCAGCTGCTTTAAACTTTGTCCATTTTTTTAAACTGCTGGCAGACTGGCACTGCTTTTTGAAAAGCCCATTGGGGCAACATGCAATAGTCCCACACAGGCTGTGTGAGCCAGGTTGGACAGGAAAGGCAACCACAGCCCCTGGAGTGTGCAAGGGGGCAGCCTGGGGAGGGCAGCTGGGATCAGCCTGAAAACCAGGATTAGCAATAGGAGACAGGAGAGTTAGCAGGTGTGAAGCTGGCAGCTGGAGCTCAGAGAGATGGAACCAGGACTCCTGAAAAGCAAACAGGAGAGGCAAACCCATGCAGGATTATTTATTTTAGCTGTTAATTTGCTGTCAGTGGAGCCAGATGATGAGGTGGTGGGGAGGCACCCAGGCGTGAGGGCAGAAACCCATCTGCAGGTGCTCATATGGCCTTAGGTCAGATTAAGCCAACTAAAACCTTATCCTAAAGCCCTTTACTGCAATAGGAAGCCCAGCTGCTCTTAAGTGGGAAAAAATCGGGTCCTTGGGTCCTGGCTCTGCAGCACTGCCTCTCAACCTCTCCTCTCCACATACACAAGCTAGCTCCAGCTCTTTCTATAAAGCACAGGACACATACTGCCTATCCTGCTCATTACTGTCTTTCACAATCTTCCCATAAACCTGCTGGTTATTTGGCAGGCAGACATACCTAAGTGCTCTGTGCATTCTGCTTTACAGCAGAGTTGAGTTCCCAGCGTTTTGTTGTCGTACAAGTCTCACACTCTGGTAAGGGGCCACTCTCACAGCCCACATAAATGATAGATCATCTAGGCATATTTCCCTGTAATGCCCCATAATAACAACGTAAATGATAAACGTGGAAGAGCCATGGCTCTTTTCATGTCCCAGTGCCACTAGATGGCACCAGGAGTGTACCCTTCCCAGTCCGGGTGTTCCCAGGGCCACTGGGGGAATCCATCCCAGCCCTTCCTTGCTGCAGGGCCAGAGACCTCAGCGCACTCCAGTGCCTCCTCGTCTTTTCTTCTTGGACCGTGGGGTGCTGCTGTAAAGGCAGGCATTTCTGCCTTAAAATCTAACCTTCAGATGTGCTGGGGAGTATAGTCTGTGGTGGCTTTTGCCATGTTGCCTGTCACACACTCCCCCCTTTTCCCACCCGTGGACCAGGCATCACTTCCAGCTGGGTGCTGGAGAGGCCAGCCTCAAAGGTGGATACAAGTTATTCTGATTAATATTGGGATTAACATATGTTTCCCATCATTGACAGGCTCCTCTTGGGAGGGATAGGAATAAAACACAATTTACTATATGATTTTGCAATCAGAAGGTCTGCCTTCTCTGAGGTCTCACAGTTTTAGGGATTGATTCTCCTCATGCACATTTGATACCCAACAGAGCTCAGCATGTCCAGAGTATTACCTGTGTTTTTCACTATCAAACCCTCTATTCCCCGTCACATCCTTGGCAAAGTCACTAAATAAACCAGGGAAGCACAGATGGCACCTCACCAAATGTCAGGTCTTTCCTCAGACCTTGCAGCATAACTAAGGAGTATCTACTTCCCACTGCCCTCAGCATCAAGCCCTGAAGGAGATGGCAGCTCACTTGAGGGAAGTGCCTGGCAAGGCCCTATAGCAGCACTTCAAAGCAGCCAGCCAAACCCTGTCCCCGAGCAGTGTGGGGGACTTGGGTGACAAATCATTGCTCATCACACAACCCTTCTGCCCAGAGCAGAGCTGGAGAGGTGATGGAGCACGGCTTCCAGAAGAGCCAGAGCAGCTTGTCATTCCTTCCTGCCCACATCCCAAGCCTGGCGTGTCTAGTTGATGGGTGAGCATGACAGTGGCACAACCCCTGTGGCAAGGAGATCCCAGTGAAACCTTGGGTGCAAAGGGAATGCGAGAGGGACTTTGTGCAGGGAGCCTCTGAGTGATCCTGTCCTGCTCACAGAGGTGGAGTCACTGGAAGAAAGGCCAAATGGGAGATGCATAGCACAGCTGCGTGGTGGTGTGGCAGGCTGGTGGCAATGGCAGAGCTGTCCCTGCCCACATCCCAAGGCCACGAGGTAATCCTGCAGGAGGATCCTGAGTGTGATCCTGCTTCCCAGCCCTCTGCAGAGAGTGGCACAAATCCCACACAAGCGCTTTAACCCCAGGTTAGGGTGAAAGTTAGAAAGAAGGAGGCTGGATCATTTGGGAAGTTCAGGTCACACAACAGAGTGGGTTAAAATCTGTCATCCATTCCATGAAACAAGGAAAATCCCTCATCTTCCCCTCCCATCTCCCCTCCCTGATCACCTCAGATTGTCCTAGGGAGTGACCCAACATTCCCTTGCCAGTGCCTCCCCTCCTGGGGAGCCACCTGGAGCCTCCCTACACACCATCTGCTCTCTGCAGGTGACTCGTGGGCGCCCAAGGACATCCCTCCCACACCAGGCTGCCTCTCCCCATCACCCCCAGCCAACATCCCTGAGCCCTCTGGCTCTGACGGACTTCATTGAACCTCATGGGTCAAGTTTTTATTTGGTCTCTTGATGAGTGGATGCTTCACACATGGTGCAAAAACTTGCTGCTACAAAACCTCATTGATCTGCACACAGCAATGGCAAGCCTGGTGTCCCTCAGGGCTCCCAGCTGCTGATTCCAAGCAGAACGCACCCTTGTCTGGCTGCAGATGTCAAACAGCAGACACACACAGACATCGACATGTGCATGGCCAGAGCTGTCCGCACGCTGACAGATTATTTTTAGCCTGACAGTGATGGAAATGTCAGAGAAGGTTTCATTTATTTTCTCTGGGAGGCCTGTTGCTTGAAATCCCCATTGGCAGAGGCTGACCCTGACCCTGCCATCACAATAGGGTCTGTCATTCAGGTCTGACATCCCTCCCCACCCTTGAAAAAATGTGCAGTTCAGCAGGAGGGATGGGTGACTGGCTCAGAGTGCCTGGCAGGGCTGGCAACCTTCAGAAGGCAGGTGTTCATCCAGCCCTGCAGCCCAACCCACGCCCACCCAGCCAAGCTGTGGCTCCCCCAGATTCCCCAGCCTTCCCACATCACAGGGAAGGTCTCACTGAAGTCACAGTGGACAGCTACAAAATGTTAGGGACACTAGCACTGGCCTTTTGAGCAGCTTTGCAGTCAGGAAGGGCAAGCAGGCCATGGCATGCTCTCACTGCCCTTCAGTGACATGAGGGATGAAGTGTAGCAGTGCCAAGGTCTCCTGGTGCCCTGAAAGCACACAGAGGACTCTCTGGAGATGGAGCAACTCAGCACTGCACCAGGAACAAAGCTAATGATAATTACAAAACTGCCCTGGCTCCTTTCTAGCTCCAGGACCCCATCTGCACACAGGGCTCTGGGATGGGGCACCTGTGCCCCTGGGTTGATGGCACAGCACTGCAGAACGTGGCAGCACCCAGTTGGGTCTGCATTTCTCATGGTACCAGGGCATGACATGTCTGCTGCTACACACATTGACAGGTTTTGCACAGACTTTCTCTCTTGTTAGGGAAGCAGACTCGACGGGGAATGGCTGCTCAGAAAAACACTGGCCCATCTGAGGTAGTTTTTTGCTCAGTTATGTTGTTAGAGAGGAGCAGTAATGGCCTATATTCACACAATAGCAAAGGAGGGTCTTGAACCACATCCAGCTTGGCAGCTGTGATGCTGTGACCAGTCCATAGATAACCAGGAAGAAGTCAGTGTTTTTCCTTTGGAACTGCCCATTTACATGTGAAAACTAGCAGAGACCTTGCCCAGAGGCTGGGACAAATAGCTCCTTTTACTGCCTGCTTCCCATGAGGTTTTCCCCTCCCTCTCCAAGAGGAAATTTCCAGTAACTGAGGTATAAAAATTAATGCAAGACTATGCTCCTGAGCCAGCTGTAAAACTCATACAGGAAGAACTCCCCATCCCACACCTCACCATGGCAGGCTGCCCCCAAAACAAGTCACAGCCTTCATGAGAGAGGGAAGAGGCAGCTTTGTCTGCACCCTCCTGGTCCAGGTCAGGCTTTGGGGGGTAAATTGAGGTGCCTAGACCTGCAGGCATTGCCAGCACAGTCAGCCAGGCAATATTCCCTAACAGAGGTCTTGGATCCCTCGTGAGGTTGCAACGATGGGACACCATGTGGTACAGCAGTCCTTGGTTTCCTTAGAGATGTCATGGAACAAGGCATGGAAACAGAGAGGAATTTGGTGAGGTGAAACCTTCCTCCTCCACACTTGCCACATCCTGAGAATAACCACCAGGACTCAGTTGCATGGCAATCTCTAGGAAGTTTTGAAGAAATGTCTTTCTACCATATCCAATTCATCTTACTCCTGGATTTTACATATAAGATTAGGATTTGACCCACATGTTTTTGCTGCAAAAATGCAGGAATTTTGTCTTCCATGGCTGATAGGCTTCTCCATGCATCCAGCTGCATGTGAAGCTTTCAAGGAGCTTGCAGACACTGGCACAGGGGAGCAAAGCCTCATGTCTCTCCCAGCAGGCCTGAGGAAAGGCAAGAAAAAAGCTGGGTAATTAAATAGCACTCGCCAGAACATGTGCAAGAGTCAAACAGCAGAAACATCTCTCCACACAGAAACATTGGTGCACACTCTTGCATGAATGAAGTGCCTTGTATCGACACTTACCTGCTGATTGTGTTACCTGCTGAGATCCTCCACTTCCTTGGCTAAGCAGTCCATGGGCCCACAGCCATGGGCAGCACCCCTGCTGCTGCCTGCCCTCCCCAGCCAAACCTTCTCATTCCTCTTCTGGAAGGACATTTCATGCTAGCATGAAACAACCAAAACCAGTGCTTTTCCAAAGTCCTGCCACCTCCATATACAGGAGGGAGAAATGAGTTCCTGGCTAGGAGGAAGCAGCTGATTCCCAGAGAGCTTACAGATCACACCCCAGAGCACCGCAGCAAAATCAAAGGGCTGGGATGGAAGGGGGAAGGTGGCACATCCCATAACTGATTTCACCTTTACTGATACCCCTGAACTCAGGTGAGGCCACCAATCTGTGCTAGGCATGTGTGTGTGTCCACCACACTGCAGACTCAGCTGGGTCTGCTGGGATTTGGGAGCCTATTTACCCAGGGGATTTCAGCCAATAGGAGACTCACAATGCTTTAAAAACATGTTCCTCGATATCTTTACTAAAGCAAAGGTGACACTATGTGTAATTTCTTTAAAGCCAAGTATAAGCATGGGTGGCTGACAGCCGTCTTGTTATATCAGAATCAGTTTTCATTAGGAGGAGAAGCTTTTGTGCTTATTAATTGCTTCTATAATTGCTTGCTCTCCCTGCTACCAGGGCAGCCTCCTGTATGCCTGTGCCTGGAGGGCAGACTCCTGCATACCTCATCCCTGCTCTGCTAGCATGGGTAACTATAAATAAATGGTGACACCTGGGAGTGGAGGAGGAAAGGGACTGTGCTTCTCAACCTCAGTCTAGTCAGCTTATGCAACAGAAGGTAACTGCTGACAATCTGTAGTTATTAACTGAGTGGTACTATTTCTGATAGCTGAGGGCTCTGACCTGACCAACATTAGACAAAATTCTCCACCTCTGAGCTGGAGCTGGATAACTTTGGACTAAGAAGAAGCTGTCAATCATTTAAAGTGAAGAAAATAGCTGCATTTTAAATAGCAGTATTTTAAAACCATGAGGAACTGCTTAACTTCAAAATCCGCTGCAATTTATCCCTCCAAAAAAATAAAATGCCCATTTGTGACTACAAAGGAGTCCCTCCGGAGACTGAAAGGTGATGGCAAGTGCTCCAAATGAGCTTTGGCAATTCTCACTATTGGATTTAACTCCTTACAATGACAGTCATCCTTCTGATTTTAATGCTCTTCCCTTCTACCATCAGCTGCTGCTGCCAGGACACTTGGGCACATTTGCCTCTGGTTCTCGTAGCACAGCACAGGCAACTAAATGGGACCAAGCCTGGTTTAATTAATGCAGCTGTCATGGAGGGGGCAGTGGTGGGGCTCCCATATCCCTCTCCTCAGCACCAGAGAAGCAGGAGGTTCACAGAGAGGATCCTCCTTGGCTTGTCCTGCTAGGAGGCAACAGCATTTGCCTGGGAGAGCGTACCCATGCAGAGGGTAAGAGCTGGAAAGGGGGGATGCTGCAGAGAGACCTTGCTGCAGGGACACACAGACAGGAGTGAAAGATGGGGAAGAAAAACCATCTTTCCAAAGTCTTCTTCTTTGTTCCTCCTGTAACCTGAATCACTCATCTAAGCATTCAGCACTCTGCACTGCCTACAGCACCATCCTCCAGGGTGTGGAAGTCTGCAGGCAGAGGGAAGTAGAGCCAGTGTATAGAGCAGTGAGGACCTTGGGGAGGTGAAGCTATAGCTCCACCTCCCTGTAAGCAGGGTGCCTATACAGGTACATGTTACACACAAGCACACTCTCACATATACCCACCTTTGCTAACAGCAGAGGCAGCCAGAGAGTCCATATTTTCTAGGTTTTACTTCTATATCTGCAAAAAGCAAGTTTGCTTCTGTTTCTGATTCCCTGCAATTATCGTGAAATGTCTTCAAGAGAGCAGCTTTGTCCTCTCGGCTGAGCACATCTTTGATGTCCAGCACTGCACTCAGATGTTCCTTCCTTTCCAAAAGGACAAGAGGACAGGTAAGTGAATGAGTCAAAAAAAAAAAAAATCTTGTTTCCTATCCCTCAGTTTTGCTGGACCAGACCAAAGATTGGAAGCTGCTTCTTGACACCCTCTGGCAACCTAAGGGGGAGGCCATATCCCAAGAGCTGTGTGGGATGGGGCTGAGCTCATGGGTCCCAAGCCCAGGTTACACAGCATCCCTGTGAAGTATTGAAAATGTTCAGCTCAGGTTATTCTTAGAAAAAGACCTGTATCTGTCATAAGAGGTTTCATATAACTGTACATATGACCATTTGGAAGCATTTTTTATATATTTTCTCCCCTCAAATGGAGCTAATTATTGTTCATGTGGAAGGTTACAGGATTTATGTTCTACAGAGCACTGTTCTGCTGCATGGGGATACGCCATATTGGATATAATCCAAATGTATCCAAGCCAAACAGTTTAAAACAGAGAAATCTGTTGTAATCAAGAACTGTGCATCCACTCACACCAAGATGACCTCCTCTGAGATCTCGGTCTTGTGAGACCTTTCTATGCCCACTTCCTATACTACACACACACACATAGATAGATAGATAGATAGATAGATAGATAGATAGATAGATAGATAGATAGATAATTGCTATGCTGTATCAGATAAGCAGCTTTTTAGCTCAATAGCACCTTCAAAAGTAGTAAAGTAAAAAAGAAGAAACCAGATGAAGCATAACATAATCTCTTTGTCTTTCTTTTTATTATTTTTCCTTGCCTACAGCAAAGAAAAATAATAAAAAGAAAGGTACAATAGTCCTTCCTACAGAAATCTAGAAACTTCCCTTGCTGCAAGTTTATATCATGACTGTCATGTTGAATAGGCACTGAAGTAATTATCTACCACAAATTGTCTGCCCCACGTTTGAAGGTATTTACACTTTTGGCCTTCACAGTATCCTGTGACAGAGAAGTCTACACTGCAATCATGTTAAGCTGGAAAAACAGAGGCACAGCACATCAGTACAAAAGATAGATGCAGTAAACCACAGGCTTTGGAAAAAATGCAGTTAGCTAAGATCTCTCCTTCCTAATAAAAGCAGTGTTTCAATTCTGTTAAGTTTCCTGTAAAAAATGTAAGTGTATATTGCTGAATGCACCTAGAAATTTGTGAAAATAGTTATAGAAGGTTTAGTGAAGTGTAGTGAAGCCAAGCATTTGGAAGTTATGAAATGGCCAAGGATGTTCTTGAAACCTACATTTGACATATATGTGCCTGTAAATTCTGCATTAAGGTAGTACTTTTCCACAGTATTTCTGCTATGTTTACAGCAATTTCATCCATCCTTCACCTTTACAGAAGGACCTGTCAACTTCACCAGTCCATGTCTGGCAAAGACATAAACCAGGCACCAGCGAGTACATTCAAAGGGTCACTAGGCCTGGACCAACACACTGCAAAAGTATCACAGGACTAATATAGGGGTAGGTCTTCTGGTGTCAAGTAGTCATGTAAGAAAGTACAGAAGTCAAACCAATCAAAGACATTACCTGAAGTCAGGAAATTCTTTTAGAATGGGCAGAAGTGCTATTTTCATCCCCTCAGCATCAGAAGTTTGAATAAGTTCTAAAATTGCTTTTATGGGATCCTTGAGAGAACCAGCTGCAGGACCCTGGGGAGAGAAACAATGTTGTGTTCAGGGCAGAGGAAACAGCACAGCAGATTAAAAGCTGGACTCGTGTCAGACTGGGGATCTCTCTGTGTGGGTTAGGAGCTTTGCAGGAATGTCTGTGCATGTATAGAAGTCTGATTTTCCCCCAGGATAGCAGAAAAGAACCTGGGGAGTAGTCACAGACTACTGAGTAGCTGGACAACTATCTTCAGCAGCGCAGAATCCTCTCCTGCACTTCCTTTGGCAAAGCTGGCAACTGTCCCTCATTTTTCCCTAAATTACCTGTCCTTTCAGGGCCATTTTACCCTGTGGGAAGTGGTTTGCCTCTGGAGGTAAGTACAGCCTGTGCTTGACCTGTGTGAAAACAAGCTTTGTTGGCCAAACATGCTGGCATTTCTTCTGCCTCAAAGCAAGCCCAGGGACAGAAAAGCAACCTTAGGGAGAGAATGAGGGGACAGAGATCCTCTAATAGAGAAAAACTGGGAAACAGGGCCAGACAGTGTAAAACACATGACATGGTTTGTAGATGTTGTGTATGATCAACTCCCTCTAATCTGGAGCACACAGGAGAAAAAAAGTATCATCAAAAAACACACAGCATTTTTAGCAGAGCTGGAGAAGCACAATGCAGATGAACCACCAAGAGAGAGCTTCGGGTCTTGCTCACATTTTTCATCAGTGCAGTAATGCAATTAAATTACTTCCCTGAATTATTGATGCCACCACGTCAAAGAGACTCTGTGACAAGGCCAACCTGGAGAACGGGCTGCCAAACTAGGGCAGGAGAAACCCAGGTTCCCCTGATCTCCAGGGGGCGTTAGAAACAGCAGGTCACATTCTCCATGCAGCACCTCTGCATTAAACATGAATTTAAAATAATAATAATATTTGAAGACAGCCTTCCCCCTCTCCCCCTACACTGCAAGCACACAGCACGTCTAGCTCTGCTCAGTGTACAAGCTGTACTCAGCTCCTGAGGCACTGGTACTGTACAGCTTCATACTTGGCAAGCTCACTATTACAAAATGCTAATTAATTTGAAGGCGTCAGATTTAGTTAAGCACTTACATAGGCAGGCAAGGTCAGAGGTAAACAGCCTTCAGTCTAAAGGGAAAAAAAGGAGGTGTTTTGTCAGCAGTGTTTAAGTGCCTTTGACACATACTGCTCTTAGGAGAGAAGCAAGGTATTTCCTAATGTGTTTTGAGAACAGAGGGGAAGGAAGAGCCGAAAGAGGGGGCAGAGCAGGGCAGGGAGCATGTGCAGCCTGTGCAGCAACTGCACGATAAATTCAGTCTGCAGCAGAGTTCATATTTCACATGCATAACCGTGAGCCCCATGACTAAGGAGCAGGCTGTTCCCTGCAAATCATTTGTGCATTTCACCTCCAAGGCTTTCGGTGCTTTCACATCAAGTAAGAAAATGCACACATTGGGACATTGGGAAACAGTTCTAACCAGATGCAGCCCTTTTTCACACAAGCTTAGTGGGGTTTTAATAGATAATTAGATTTCCTGTATCTCCTTTACGCTGTTCCATGCACGTTACATCCAAAGCCAGTGCTGAACACAGTATTACTGGTAAACTTCAGAGTTAAGATTAGAGAACCTTCCTGCTATTCCCCATGTCCCAATTGCTGAAAGTGTTAATTCATCTGTGATTGGTCATTCCAAGAGAGGTGGATCGCGCTGGCAGCTTCCAGCCTTCCACCATGAAACTAATGCATTGCTTATAATGGGTCTGAGAGGATTCTAGAGAAACCTACAGATGATAATTTTTATTTCATTTTATTCATTGGACAAGGTAAGAATTGCTGACATATGGCTTGGAAGGGACTCATCTGTGAGAAAATAGATATTCAGTCCCTAGCACTAAAATAGGCAAGTTGTGAGAATGACTCAGCATTTGTGTAATTATTAAAACCAGTGTAGCCAAGGGGGTTTGTATGCTGTCACATCTGAGTCCTGTTACCAGACTGACTTTGCAAGCACTGCTGTGTTGCTCAGCCCAGCCCTTTATGAAGCACCATGCCTGGGCACTCTCAGCCTGCATCTGCCAATGAACCATGCCAGGGACGTTGCACAGCAGTGATTCTCCAACTGGACCAGCTGCCAGTGCAATCCTTGCCCTTGGGTAATCAAGGGACTCATGTGACAGCATGGTGGCATCCGCAGATGCCATTTACACCAGATTATGAGGTGAGGCTTTTTAAAGCTTCTGAAGTTGTTTCTGCAAATCAGAACCAGCACTTCTGTACAAGTTTTCTTCAGAGGCGTGGCTCTGCTTTTACACCCAATTTTCTGCAATGTGCCTTCACCTCCTAATGGTGTGAGGTGTTTACCCCTGCAGGAAGACTCGTTCCTCCCCACAACCATCAGCAACCACAACAGCATCAGCATGTTTTTGCCATGAGGAAACGCCAGAGCACAGGGAAATGGCTCATCCCAGCTCTGAGGGGCGGGGAAGGGCGTGTGGGGAAGGAGGAGGCTGGATGGGAGGATGGACATGCTCCTCCCATGTCCAGGGAGGAGCAGCCTTACAGAGCAAGGTTGAGATCCACATAGCAGGTGGAGATGTGGAGCAGCCTGTTTGGTTCATCACTGCAGAGGCTCAAGGCAAAGCGTTGCCACCCCATGCCATGTACCAGAGGCCTGATGGGGGGAGCTGGCAGCTTTGGAGCTGTCTCACCAGCTCAGAGGAGCACGCCTAATTCTTGTGTCAGTGGCAGCAGTGCGAAACTTGCCTCCTCCAGTCACTCATTTCAAAACCATGAACTAACAGCTTCTGACAGATCAGAATGGCTGTCAGCACATCTGACTGTCATTTTGGTGAAGCTTGATACCACTGTGGTAAAAACTCTAAAGCTTTTTTGTTGCTTTCAGTCTTTTCCTCTGCTGGTTTTATTCTTGATGACAGAGAGCAAAACTGTAACCATATCACAGACTTACTAAGCACTCTTTAAAGATGGTTTGCATCATCCTATGATCTTCTTCTATCTTGTTGACAATCCTCCTCCTCTGCATAGCAGATGGTTTCCTGGGAGTGGTCAGGAGGGCCTGCATGTATTCTGTGATAATGATGGCATTGACAGCCTTGATGAGGGCCTGTTCCGGAACAAAGATACCCAGATTAACTTCCTTGCACTGGGCAAGGTTCAGACCACACCTATACCGGGGCAGGCTGCAGATATTCTGTCCATGCAGATGGCTGTCCCATTTCTTTGCTTAAGTATTAAATAAAAATGTTTGATCTAACACTTCTACTACTTCAAGCTGCATGTGGATGACATAAACTTTGATGGTAAGTGTGGAGACATCAAATCAAAAGCAATAGGACCAGTTAGCTGAGCCAGAGGTCACTCACACTCCCAGGCTGCTGTGACACTTGGCTTGGCTAACGTACATCACCTGGGGAGAGCTTGGGCTACAAAGTCACATGTAGCCTCCCTTGAGCATCCACACCTGACACAGGGCCCTGTGTCCCTCTTAGCTCCCACTACCTGCTGAGGAAGCCCAGTGCAGAGGCTATGCAGTGCCCAACAGCAGCAGTGAGTGTTTCTGATGGGGGGTGGGCTGCTGTACAGAAACCACATTTTGTTAGCAATTGAAATCAGAGCGGGGTTAGGCTGCAGTCCAAAGGTACAGGAAATCCCCAGCTCTGCCCAAAACAGACAAAGCAAGAGACAGAGAGCTCTGGCACAGTGCTTCAGCACTGAGCTGCTGCTTGCCCCAGTACTAATGTGACATAATGTCCAGTGACAGGCTTTGAACAACAGCAGAATAGATCCTACTTTTTTTCTCTTCCATTACTTTTTTCCATATTGCAAAATGTTAATTAAAATCATCACTGAAAAAGAGACTGCAGACCTGGGAGTCCTGTGCTTAGGAGGACACATGGCACATGTAGCAGCAGCAAATCCAGCCTGCACTAAAAGAGAGGGTTCCCCAGGTACCAACCTCATTGCTGAAGAGGGTAAGATCCTAGACAAGTTGTTTAGGCTACTGTAAAGGTGAAAAAACTTGGGTACTTTGTGAGGTTGTTTGCCAATCCTCTGCATGTGACACCATGCCCTTTAAGAACCTGGACTTTTCACCCCTCTGTGTCCACTCTACATCAAAGGGATCAATAATCTTTACAAATAAGGTTGAAGCACATTAGAAGCTGAGAAGATTTCCAAGATAATGGTATTGGGGCAATGACGGGAGAGGAGGGAGCCCAGCATTCCCCTCTGTATTTGGGAGGTACATTAGTTTCCATATTTCTTCACTTGTTGATTTCTCTGCTGAAACTACAGAAAGGTCCCAGCTGTCACTACTCAACCCTGGTGGATAGAGGTACTAGACTGAGACCACTGGGTATTTAAAACTCCATTTGACAACTGAGAAAACTGCAGTTTGAATTAAGGTTCTAATAGTGTGCCATCCAAAGGTTCAATTGCTAGTTTTAGTGATTTCACAGAATAGAATAGTTTGGGATGGAAGAGACCTTAAAGATCATCTAGTGCCATGAGTAGGTACACCTTCCACCAGAACAGGTTACTCAGTACCCTATACAATATGGCCTTGAACACTTCCAGAGGTGGGGCATCCACAACTTCTCTGGGTAACTTTTTCCAGCATCTCACCACTCCCACAGCAAAGAACTTCCTCCTAAAATCTAATCTAAACCTACTCTCTTTTAGTTTGAATGCATTCCCCCTTGTCCTGTCACTACATGCCCTTGGAAAAAAACCCTCTTCATTTTTCTTGTAAGATGATTTCCTGAGTAACATCTTGTACTCACTTTCTTACTTATTTCTTACCTCATATATATCTGTTTTTTTCTTCCCGAAGGTCAAAAAGCTTTGATTTAAGGATTCAAGGATGTGGTCAAAACCACTGTCACACTTTTTGAAGTGGTCTTTCAGTGTTCCCTGAGGAAAAGAAACAGACAGAGTCAAAGGGTGCACATGTAGAGACACCACACAAACAACAGACACAGATTATTGTGCCTTTGCTCTTTCTGCCCTTGGAAACAGACTTCTCCACAAACTGCAGCATCCTGTGCCTTTATTTCAATGAAAATCAAAACATGAAAGAAAGAAAGAAACAATTCCAACTCAGGAAGGATGCACTAAGTTCTTAAGCCCAAACATGGAAGACTGAAAACCTGAGCCCTAGGTGTCCTGTTCCCCTTCAGGGTTGCCCGTGCTCTGTCAGAACAACCCCCAGTTCCCACACAGATGTGTAGGCCTTTGGGACAGACTGGCAATGAGCTCTGGAGACCAAAGCTGCATAGTGTAGCCAGAGTTTCTCTTGTCATTTGCCTTTTGCTGCCTCCAACGTGCTTGAGGGAGCCTGTGCAATGAGGCTGAAGATGCTCAGGGGAGCTTCCCAGGGAAATGCACAAGATCACACACTGTTAGGAGCCTGGAATTCTGTGGTTTTTTCTGTATTTCACAAGGATGAAGGGTGTCTGGGCTAATAGGCTGATACTAGAAAGTGTGAAGGGAGGGGACCTCATCTCAAGGGAGGGACACATTTCTGGTCAGCCTTCTCTACATCCTGACTACCCAGCAGAGCCCTGGGCTCTGTCAGTTATCACTGCACTGGGAAGATGCCCAGCTGCTGGGAATGAATAAGTACCAGATGAGATTCAACTTTTGGGGTCTGAGCAGCACAACAGCAAACACTACAAACAGTGAAACTGGGGTCCCCAAACTGGAAAAGGTGAAGCTGTCCATGTACAGATTCTGACAAGGCAGAGGAGAGTACTCAGCTTGAAGGCTGAACAATGGCTTCACCTTTTCCAAATCAAGACATGAGAGAGAGAAGTGCATGCCAGCCATATGGTCTGCAAATAGTCAGAATTAAAATGGGTCTTCCATACCTTGACTTTAGAAGTGATGGTCTGCAGAAAATGCTCCATAATGTCATCTTCCATCCTGTGTAGAAATCCATTTACCTTAATATTGTGCTCAGTGCTGACACTGCAAATGTATGTTAGCTTATGCCAGACAGTTCTGTTAAAAAAAAAATAAATATGGAAAGTATTGATCAGATCAAATCACACTATTCTCTCAGATCAAAACTCTTTCTACTGTAACCAACACAGCTGCCTGGGTAGTTGAATGGACACATGCTCAGGTCCAAAGGTAGGTCAGTGACCTGCATTTGTGTGCTCATTAAGACTCTGCCACAAGGGCAGGAAAGCTCAGTGCATGCAAATGCCACTTGTACCCATCACTAGTGAGATCAGATCAGAAAAAATCCTAGTATTTTTAAAATCAAGTAAGCATGAAGCAGCCTCAACAAACAGTATCGGTGAGCATCCTGTGTGCCTTTTGACAACATACAAATACAAGACAAACAATTATCTTCCATCAGAACAATCTTCCAGTCAGCAAATCCTGGTTAAAATTATCACCAGCTTGAAACCAGACATTTACATTCTGGAAAGGCTCAGTGTACAACTTCATTCTCAGTAAAGCTGTAAAGGATTACATAAAAGAGACTCATAAGTATTCAGTCTAGGATACAGCATCAGCAACATGAAAATACAACAAACAAAACAGATACCTAGGCTCAACGCAAGGCTCTGATGTCAAGTAATCACTGTGCATATGTTGGATTTTGGCATTTTGCTGACTGCAGAGATCCCTGGATAACTTTACATAGGAAGAAGAGAAGCAACCTTGTTTTCTCCATTGCTGCAAGTGCTTCTGAAATTAGCTCGTAGGTGCAAACATACTCCTCCACCCTTCTGTGCTTTATTGCTTCCCTCCTTCCTAGCAACCCTAGGGAGAGCCTGGCATATTCCATGGGGTTTCATTCAGCAAAGCACTTAAGATTGCACCTACCAAGTGCACCAGCACACACATCTCAGCACAACCTTTATGAGGCTTTCCTGCTGAAGGACGATCAGGCCAGGGAAAAGTACAACATCACAACCCACAGTGGGGTTAGCCAGGGCAGTGTCCCCACACATGACATAGAGCTGCTGCCTTCCTTCTGCTCAGTGCAGGAAGGGGGAGATGACTACAGCCCCTGCACCTGCCTGGTAACAGCCCAGAAGTGGCAGTACAGCCCTGTGGCCCTGGCCACAGCCCCAGCCCCCATCTTAGCCTCCCTCTTGCTTGGGCAGCCAGGGCAGCTCTGAAGGGGTATTGCTAACAAGCAGCTGGCTTCCTCCATGCTTAGAGGCTGGTGTGCACAGGGTTGGATGCCCATATCCAGCTGGAGGCAAGGTTGGCCTCATACCAGAGTCAGAAGGAGATGAGAACAGCAGAAAACTCGTTTCGCTCCCCATGTCATGAGGCTCTGTTTTCTAACCTTAGAAGACAGCAATTCTCCAGGATTTGTAAGCTGCTGCAGATCTTCAGGCAGCCGTCAAGCTGGAGAAAGCTTCTTACTTCATCTTCATAGCTAAATTAAAACAGGAAGAAGTACTTTTAATCTAACCTTATGCTCCATAACACATCAGCAATAGCAAACTGAAGAAATCTTCTGTGATTTTCTTTTTATCTCACAGATTCAATCCCCCAGGTGGGATCTACAGCATGACAAAGACTGTCTCTGTCCTGCCCAGCTGGTCAGGAAGGAAAACACAGGAACAGCAGAGAGAGCCCTTGAGCTGCCTGGGTACCTCTATCAGGGACCAAGAGGCAGGAGGTTGATTTGCAACACTTCCTTCTGAGAAGCAACTCAGGCTTTGCTGATAAAGCTGCAAAACAAAGTCTCAGTGTATATGAATAATACACAAGGTCTCTGAACTGCTTTGTCAGTCTCAGTCTCACAAATTGAAAGACTCAATTTTATAGCAATTTCCATCCTCTTATCATGTGGAGGGCCAGAAGTCCCCCCAAGGCTTTATCCTGTCCCAGCTACTCCAGATGCACTTTGTTCCCTCAGCTTTAGTCCAACAACAAATACTGAGCACACTAACAGCAGTGAAGTGCTGTCTCTCCAGTAACAGCTTGATGAAAAACAGCCATCAAGATCCAGATGAACACAGTATCACCAGCTGCTTCATCAGGATTTCTTTCTTTTGAGCATATTGCCAAGGAGGAAAACAGCATCCTTCCTACCTCTCCAGGAACCTCAGGCACTCCTCCAGGCACTCAGCTTCCACCTTCTCGCTCAGGCTCTCGCTGACTCGCCTGGCAGCCTCTGTCTTCTCTGTTAGTATCTGTGGATTTCAGTGTGTGAGAGGAGAACTGGCCAAAGCCATTTGTTCCCTATGCAGGGAACAAGGATACATCCCACTGCTCATCCTGCAGCAAATCCCTCTGCCCTCTAGGCACCAACTTCTGCTTCAGTTTTTAGAGTCCTGGTGGAAATAAATGTATTTTTCATCAGCCTGACTGTAATGCCTGACCCTACACCTTTGCTACCACTGTTTTTGTTGTGGTCAGCAGGGCTGTGCTTTGGTAAAAGCCTGTCCCTGCAGATGTTCTCTGCTGCCCATGTCCAGCCTGGTAGCTCAGCTCATACATACCTGCCATCTGCAGGAGCACCTGTGCAGATAAACCTGACTCACTTTGCAGATAAATTTGGGTGCAGCCACTAAAAAGAAGGTTATGCAGACTTAGCTGTGTGCCCTGCACCTCTGTCAGGGTCTCTACACGGAAGGCCTGAAATGGGCAGGTATCACCTTCCCAGACACCACCACTCACACCTGACACAGCTCTGTGTGTTAAACCCTATAGCACATGTCCTGCCCCACTGACCCCATCTGGGTGGCCCAGGTGTCTGCAGGAGGTGGGCAGTGCCAGACAGCTCAGAATTCACCCCATATTGGGCAGGCTTGAGCAGGTGGCAGGTTAATGCTGCCCATTAGTTGCCCTGTGGAAACAAAAGCTTGCAAGGGGAGGAGAGCCAGATGGATAAAAGGAGACAGATGGACCCATATGCTGTGCCCTTACAGTGCTCCTGAGCCAGAGACAAAGGGTGACTCACATCATGAATGGGTTTTTCCTCTGCTCATAACAGATGTAAAAGTTCACCCAAAGGGACAGGATAAAATATGCCACCCCAAAGTGTCAGAAAACCACAGATGATGAGTTTCCATGACACCTTGTTCGTTTTCTGTCTGAAGTTTAAGTGTCAGCCTGAGAAAATTGAGGAGGTGGTAATTTCATAAGGCTTTCCTATTAATCCAGGCTTTTCCATCACCCGCCCCAGAGCATTCAAACCTGTCAGTTGTATACACAACAGAGTGAATCCACTCATGCTGAAGCATGGACAGATGTTACAGATATGAGAACTATGGGATTCAAAGCATGCCTTGTCCTAGTTCCTGTTAGAAAACTTTCCACTGTGAGCCAGGAGCAGGAAAAAAAACCCCATCTTGGTAGCTAAGTCACTCTAGCACAGGTACATCACTGGGCACATCACTGCTCCATTGCTCCAGCAGGTCCAGAGCAAGACAAGGAGGAAACAGCCCCTGTTGTGAGCTCTTCATTTGGTGCCTGGGTCTGAGATGGGCCAGAAAAGGCAGTGTTTGCCAACTAAAGCTCTATCCTCACAAGGAAAACCAGCTTCTGTTGATCTGTGATGCTTCCAATGCCTGAGGCTGTCTGCCATCCCAGAGTCCCATGGAGCTACTTCCCCCTATCATGACCTGAAACGGGACTGTCACTGGGGTGGTGGAAGCGGAGAAGAAAGATGCAGTCATGACAACCCACAGCCTGCTCCTGATCTCCAGCATCATTTGAGCCCACATGTAAACTCCAGGATTTATTTTAATCCTTCTGCAGGTCTTGATCCAAACACCCTCTGCCCACAGTATATGCTGCTCACAAATCAGCAGGGTGTGCTCCTGCAATGCCCTTGGAGCATTCGCCTTTGCTGTGCTCTGCAGAATCCCCCACACAGCCTGACCCACCAGGGCAGCAGCCTCAGTGGGGACAAGCAGGGAGCAGCCTGCCTGCATTTTGCACTGCCAGCCATGGGGCCCTGCCACAGCTCAGCAGCTCTCTCTGCTTTTATAGAAGTGCTCTGTAGAGCTCACACAGAGTAGACTGGGTAACACACACCACGACTTTCCAAAAGGTTATGTAAAGATCTAAGAGCATGTATGAAAATGCAGCTTCAGCTTGAATCAGCTCAAGCTTATCCTTAGTTTAGTAAGGGTTTTTTTTTTTTGTATGTATGCCCAGGACAAAAACAGGTTTGGGAGCAAACAGACACAGCTTAAGTATGGCAGCCAGCTTGCAGGCTTGTAACACATTGAGCTTAGACTGAGACATGCATAACTGGGTCTTGCCAAATACCACATACTTGTGGACAAAAACACGACTGCCCCAAAGTATGGGAGCTTTTCAGTTCCCCCCCAGTTTACCTCAATGACTGCAGCATCTGCACAAGGGGGTTTCCCAATATCAAAGGCTTCTTTCAGAGCTTCCCCTACTTCCTTCTAAATGATAAAAGAAAATTAAACAGTACAGTTAAGATACAATGGCATTCATAACAAGTTACGTTTCCCAGACTCTCATTATCCATTTGGACTAGATGAATTTCTGCCTCCATTTTTTGGCTGTCTCATTTAACCCAAAGCCTGGCTATTTTCCAGCTGACCTAATAACATTATTCTGTTTTGTTCTACACTGTTTGTTTGAGTTTAAATGATTTGCAGCTTTCTTTCATCCCAGTGTCAGCTTGGGTTATCTGCAGTCTTCCCTAGTTAGTTTAGCTCAAATGAAGGCGCCCACACAGCAAAACAATGCTTAGACACATCTCCATGCTGCCAGCTACTGTAGCTGAGATTTTCCACCCTTCCTCTCTCCAACCAGCTCCCGCAGAAACCAGCCAGCATTAATTAAAACCATTCCCTTGCTTGAGCCAGGGACTTGTGACTGCAAAGAGGAGCTGGGTTAGTGTTCAGAGCTACTGTCATGGTGAGATGGGCCCCATGAGGCTGGATAATGGGAAATTTCCCAAGACTTGGCTGGCTTATTCTAGTTTGAATGGCTGTAAAAACAAAATTAGCACTGCAGAGAAGGGGCTTGTTACTTAAGACATGATCTGACCTTTATAGAAGCTTTAAACTCAAAAGTCTGTCTTGCTTACTTATTCTTTAATTTCTGAATCTTCCTCCAAGGAATGTAAAGTCCCATCTCCCATTTTGGTCTTTGTTCTCTTCTGGCTAATAAATTAGGAAATTTGTGGCTGTCAGCTGAAGAATTTCATCAAAAGTATATTCAAAGCAACTGCTCTCCCATATTCACTGAAAAGTGTTAATCAAAGACAAATAAGCAGTTGTAAACAACCCAGAAAAACTTCTTTCCTCACAAGTGCCATCACCTGACTGTGAGCAAGTATGTAAGCATGATGTGCTGAGATAGCACATCCCAGCTGAGCTGAACAAACACTTCAAGCCTGCCCCCCACAATGGGACAAAGCACAGATTAGTGGGGAACTGCAAGGCAATTAATAACTTGTTGAGGACAGCACTTAGTTGTTTTGGATCAGATGACGTGTCTGAATTAGAAACAGTTTACTTGTCTGTAGCTCTTGTAGTGATACCAGCACATCAGGCACTAAAGCTCTAATGTGGAGAGGACCAGAACTTCTGCTGTAATAAACAGACCCAGTTTACTACTTGTTTCTTCAGTTTGAACAAGATGTTGCAAGGCTTCAGATCCATGGGTGGTCAGTACACCTGTGTTGACTGCAGAACACACTTCTCCTTTCGTCCATTTGAAAAACAGAGGGGTGGTGGGGAGAAGACACAGACCCAAGTGATCCTTTGCAGGTCAGTGTAAATGAGTATGAGAATGAGCCCTAGCATCACACTGGAATGACTGCATTGAACTCTTGTAAAATCCTCCAGTACAGCAAAGGCAGAGGTGACAGACTGGCAACCCAATCAATGGCATAAGCGTTTTCTGTTCAACAATTTTGTAATCTCAAAGGCACAAAGCTCCCTTGCCCCAGGTGTGTCCAGAGTGAGGGGAATGCTGCCTGCATGCAGAGCTGACCGAGTACCCCACATTGGAGTTTCAAAGTGGTTTTGAACCCTGCGTGGCATCTGGGCTCTCAGTGCCTTCAGACATGCTCACAGTTCTCACCACTCATTTCTGTTTAAAGTGTTTTTAGTTTGCACAGATATCAGGCTACCACACCTAGTGATAAGCCAGGTATTCATAAATAAAGCAGACCATGGCTTATTCTGGTCAGGTTCTTCTCATTCTAAAAAATTTAGTCACCCATTGAAGTGGCAAAACACACACCATGTGATTTAGTCACAATAATATATGACAATTGTTAAGAGACAGCAGCAGGATATTTGCCCAATAACAACTTCCTGTATATTAGCATAGTGAAGGGCTGAATTACCCTAGAAGTAGAAATAGAGGGATAAAGCAGGTTTCATAAGCTGTGCCACTGAGCTAAAGAGACATCCATAATTTTTCCATATGGAGTCAGCTTATGTCCACTTAAGCTCATTATCTTTAATCTGGAGCTGTTCCCAAGCTGCCAGGTTTGAAGCAAGCAGGCGCAATGCTGTGATACTCTGTCCAGCACTTACAGCTCTGTTCTTTCTATACAACTCAGCGCTACGTAGACCTGTGATGCTTCAGGATCCAAGGTAGCATGAAAACTCAGGGCAGCACAGCACAAAAGCTCATAACCACTGCCAGATTGAGGTGAGCCTGCTCAGCACATGGTGTAGCAGGAAAACAGAAAGCCCATGGTTAAGCAAAAGCATTCTTCAGCTATTACATTAGAGGGAAATAAAAAAAAGGTTCAAATTCCCATCACTGTTAGTCAGCATCTTTGAGGGTTTGTCAATGACTCAGTGACTTGCTCTAGGATAACCTCAGTGGCACTACCCTGAGTTAAGTCACTTCCTTCATTGAAACAAATGCTAAAAAAAGAGCTTAAGACCACATGGTCTTCCCCAGGGTAATGATTAAAAACAACCCATTAAGATACTTAAACACTGAAATCAGTAGGTTTTAAGTATATTGTCACCAACTGGCACTTCTACTCCCATGTTTGTGACTACCTTCATGTTCTTCTTCGGGGAGTAATTCTTGAGGAAAATCTCTGCAATTTAGAGAGCTTTCCTTGGGATGATTCAGCAGTTTGCCATGAAATTTCCCCTCCTCTGCTCCCCAGGGTCTGGTGGAAATGAAAAGCAAGAGAGCTGACTGTGGTAACTCCTGCTGTTGCATTTCAGCTTTAGCTGAATAAAAGAGGCCCTGCTGAGTTTTCCAAATAATGTGGTTTCCTCTGTAACTCCCCGTTGCTACAACACATCTTCCCTGCTTCATTTGTATTCCACATGTCTCAACAGAATTCTTCAAAGAGGGACTGTTGCTGAGAAAAGAAAGAGATGCTGCAGCCACAGGGCTGGGGTCACCTGTGCTGAGGGGCTGCTGGGTGGGCACCAGCTGCATGTTTTCTTGTGCTGAGCTCTGGAAATAATCTTTGCTCCAATGTCAGCAGTGTCAGTCCAACAGACTGGAAAGAACTGTGAGGGGTCCACACACAGACAAACTTAGCAGCCTCAATATCCTGCACAGCTGAGTCAAGGGGGCTGTAAAAAAACCCCAATTGTTGCACACAATGGATCATTAACAGACGGAGAGAAGATTAACAACATTTTGAAATGGCCTTCAATAAGGAAGTGGGTTTCACCTATAGTGTCTCTTTCCTCCAGATAAATGAGCTTCTGAGCAGAGCAGATTGCAGCTCTCTGAACATACAGCAATGGGATGAAGAGAGATCTGCAAATGTACCAGCATTTCCTTGCTAAGGAGCAAGGACAGGACAGCTTCCCTTTGGCAGCAGACAATCATGGATCTTCACACCTGGGCTCTGCAATGAAACTCAGTCAAGATGGAGACCTTGGGACTCACACATGCCTGAGCAGAGCTGGCTATTTAACAAGGGCAGCCCTTAATTTAAAACTATGGGAATAAAACAGGCAGATTGGGGTAAAATTCTCGAGTTCTTACCCGTGCGATTGCAAGTAATTTTTCCTCAGTCTTCAAAAGAATCCACACGAGGCACTGTGCACCAAGGGAAAGGCTGTGCTGGGGGATGTGCCCTGGTCTCACACATGCCTGGCTGCCACTGTACAGAAACAAGAGCTCAGCCAGAGAGGCAGCTTCCCGCGGGTCCACAGCATTGCCTGCCTGGCACCCCCTGCTTGGCACCACACTAAGCAAACAGGGCACCCTGCAAGAACCCAGCAGTGTTTGCCATGCTTGGGCAGCCACAGCACAGTAGATGATCTTTACAATGATCTTTACAATCTTTTGCCAGCTTTTCTTTTGTGCTGCTTCTTTTCCTTCTTCCTACATTTGCTGCCCAAGTTAAGGTCTTTGCTTGTTGTTCCCCTCTCCTCTTCCCTCACTGCTGCTACTCAATTCCTTCTTAAGCTTGGGGACAGTCTCCCAAGCACACTTGCATGAATGCACAATTTTGCAAGTGTCACATATTCTTTCTGAATGGAATAAGAAGCAGCTATATACCAAGACAACTGCACCTATGCATGAGCTTTCATAGAGGTTGTAACTGTATTTAGAGAGGAAAAATCAAATGCTGAAGTCTGGCATCTCTGCTCTTTTCCACTTTTTTCACTGCCATCTGACCAATACAGTCACTGGTCTTACTTGTTTCCCATTTTTTTTCTTGAAGGAATTCTGCATTTATATAATACATATTTTTCTATATTTTACTTTTCTTTATATAATTAAATTACATAATTTTTCACCTCCATTTTTTTTATGTTTTCAATGTTTCATCAATCCATTACTCCAAAGTTTTACCATTTTAAAAGCAGCAGTAAAAGGGATGCCTCCTGACCACATTTACCATGTTCCCAATGATGGCCAGTGTGTACCCACCACACCGCTTCCCTCCTTCAGGAGCTAACTGGGGGAAGAGCCCACCTGATGAACTGCTTATGAGCTAATTAAGCATTTATAGGTGTAATTCATACAAGGAACAGAGAAGCCGTAGGCTTGGATGAAAGCAATCAAATAATCCAAATAGACTGAGAACTGTTAGGGCATAAGTAGTTTGGAGCTGCCAAGTAGCAATTAAATCACAGACACAGAGAATTAAATGCTTTGGCCACCATAAAAAAAAATTAAATCGCAGGAAAGTTTCAGGCTTTGATGACACACACAGGCTTTGAATTCACATTGGGCCAAAGTGTCCTAGATGTGTCACTCTTCAGAGGGAAAGCCATATCTGTTTCCCCAAACTTGGGCAGGAATTTAATGATCTGCTACACGTTTTTCCTGAACTCTAACGAAGGAAATACAGAAACAACTGGGAAAACCACAAACCAGATAAAGCAGTGGGAGAACCAAGGGCAGAATAAGAGAAATTCATAGAGCACCATGCTGACATAAAGGCCAGGGAAAATTACTCGGAGGTAATTGGAGTATTATGAACCTTGTTAAAAAAAGGCTTGATGCAAGGAAAGAAATTGTTCAATAAAGCAGAAAACTGTGCATGTCTAACAGGAGTCCAGCAGAAAAATTCCTGCCCAACTCAGGTAAACCCCTGAATCTGGTATTAAGGATTTAGAAAGAGGAAGTACTGCAATGAAAAAAGGCTCTGGTTCTGAGAGCACAGAAGATAAAAGAGGCAGTAGGCAAACCTAAACTCAGCTAGAGTCTTGATCATCGCTGTGTTATTAGGAAGCAGGTACTGTTCTCAGAAACAAAAAATAAAGATATAGAAAAAATGTAGGAAAAAAGTCCCTCAGACGTACCTTTTGTACATTTTAATGCTCCATTCATAAATTAAAAGACTTTGGCTGAAACTGAAACAGTTACTGTCAGTAAGTGTGGCAAGGTGAGAACACAAAGAGGCATGACAGCAGCGGGCATAGGTGATGAGCAATCCTGCTTCCTTGAAGATATCACTCCTGTGCTCCAGGCTGGGGAGAAATGCCGTTTCCAGATGATTCAGGTGCTGTTTTAGTGCAGTCTCATCTGTGTTAGCAGAGGAACCAAGCAGGGGGATCTGCGCGGTCATGTATTGCATTAGCTTTTCCTCCAGATCTTTTCTCCAGAAGTTTGGGCTCCAGGTGGAAACAGACTCCATCTCTAGGCCATTACCAAGCCGCTCTGCTTTCCTCTGCTTCTCCCACTTCAGTGATTCCCCCACTGACTGCAATGGCTCCAGGAGCATCCTGTCACTTCCACCAAGTGCTTCTCCCACTACAGTCCACATTTGTTCAGCCAGCAGCACATAAAGTGATTCAGACTTTTTCATACCATCATTTCCAGAATGCTCCAGATTATGAATTTGTTCACAAGCTTCCAGAAATTTTCCTTGCTCAATGAATCTGCAGATGGTTTCTTCTGCAACAGAATAAGAACACAATTTGCTGTTTGTTCACATGTCTATAGGACCATAACTTTAATATGCAAGTTATGAAGTATCTTGTTTATATGTATTCCAAAATTCTTCAGGATCTACTCAAGATCAGCCCAGTTAAGGTCTAGCGCTAGCATCTATCCGTTTCCTCAGGGCAAGCACTTTTCCATTTCTAATGTTCTTTCATCCTTTCTTGTCCAGGTTAACCAAGCCTGCAGCTTAGTCTGCAGCTTTCTCTCATCATTCCAGAGACCTCATCATGTGAGCAATAAAGGTTCATTAATTTCAATCTTTCCTTAAGAAATGTATCTTCTGTCCAGAATAAAACATTAAAGAAAGGACATCTTCTGAACAAGCCAAAAGCTGAAGGTCAAGCCTGGAAGGAATTCTCTGCCTCCTCTACAGAAACCCTGACAGGACCAAAGTGCTGCAAGCTCCCTTGGAAAGATTTTCAGTGCTGCTTGTTTCCAATCTTACCTAGCACATCTAGCCAACCAACAAGAGTTAAATGTACTCTCACAACAGATACACAAAGCTGTAGGGTTTTTTCCATGTGTTTTATAGATTACAAGGCTGAGCAACGAAGGGTTAAGGTTTGTCCAGAGGTATCTGGAGCAGAGCCCAGAGGACAAATCGAACTTGATGAGAATGCAGGGAAAATTAAGTAAAGCCAGAAGCAGTGGAACTTAAATAATTCAAGATACAACTTTGGACGTAGAGTGAAGAATGAAAGGAGTATGAACTTCCACTGTGTTTTGCCAATATCCTTCCTACCTTTCCTCTATGAAAACATTTCATATGTGAAGTAAGAATTAAATTGAACAGTACTGGAGGGAGGAACATGACATGAAATGGAGAAGGGTGGATGCAAGGATGTTCAGCAAAGCAATTGGCAAGTTATGCAGGAGGGGTCTACAAGCTGCACCTGTCCTGCCTCGATACATGCAACACGTGGGAAATGTTTAATTGGCACAACCAGTCTGTGTGCAACCCACTTCCCCCTCCCATCTGTGGAGGAACAGCACAGTCACACAGATGGGGTGTTGGTCATACATACATCGTCTTTCTCACAAGACACATCAGTAGTCTTACAGGTAAAAATAAGAAGAGTAAAGAGAAACATCTGTGAGGCAAATAAAAAGTGAAATACAGAACTGTCCAGAGTAGTTAGTGTAGGGTTCAGAAGGGACAGGAATTCAGGCGAAGGATGGGGAGGAGGAGAGTGGAAAGCATCTAATCCAGAAGCTAATGATAAACAAGAGCCTGTGGGATGGGAGGGGCAGAGAAGATCCAGGCCTGAACCCAGAGATAACTTCAAGGTTACCTGCAGGCATCCCTCTCTCCACTCCTTTCCTACTGGTTGGCCTCTTCAGCAAATTCCCTGTCACATCCTCAGCACCAACCTTCTCCACCATCTCCTTCCCACCAACCACTGTCTTCAGCAATTTGCCTGCCAAGGTTTTCAGTGTCCCTTTCCTCTTCACATCCTGCTTCTTTCTCTCCTCATGTGTGGCCTTAGGCAGTATTCTTGCATTTTCCCCAGCCATTTTCTCGACCTTCTTGTAGCCTCCTCCCACAAAGGCTGCCCAGGAATGCTTTGTCTTCCTCATGATCCAATCAGATTCAGGTGTTTTCTGTCCAACTGGGAATACTATCTGAAGAAAACATGGGAAGCAGTTCTATGCAAAGTAATCTTAGTGTCTATCTCCTAGAGATGTTCTCGCTTCTTCTGATTTATTTTTTTTTTCTGTGCAGCTACAGGCTTCAGCTCCCTTTAAAAAAGTCTAACCTGGTTCCTGTCTGTGCCAAGTGAGGACACTTTTATAGGCTTCCAGCCCTCTTATGCAATCTTCCCTCTTCTGGGTAAATAATGTCAAAAACCTCATACATAATCTAACCACAACCACTGGGGGAAAGCCAGGGGGATTTTTGTAATTTTCTAAACAACTACAATATCCCGGTACTGCCAGTTATCTTGATGACAATCCTACCAGTTTAAGGGAGTTGATTAGTAATAATTTCTATGAAGCACACATACTTTTCCACCTACCTCACATGCCCAGGCTGTACCTGAGTTTTTCATCGGTGGGAAGATCACATCTAGGTTTGGGGCCAAGATTTCCCTCACCTCCCAACAAGCCTAGTGCCAGCCACCAGGGATGTAAAGGCCCAGAGAATGGGTGTTGGTTTCCATGTTTTAGTAACACCATTCAGAGGAGATATGAGCAATCTCAGCTTTCTGGAATGTGCAATATTCCAGCAACTATGTACACTATTATGTATTCTTTTAAATTTATATACACACACATGGATATAAATGGCATAATATTGCAGCAATCCACCATATGTGTGTGTGTGTGTCATTACATGTATGCACACATATGGATCAGTTCACCAGCCAATACCCACAAGTGAAGAAAAAGGAGGTGTATGTCTGCTTGGCATGAGGTCTATACTGGGCTGCTAAAGGTTCTGATCATAAACCACAGAAAAAATTCCTCCACAGAAAGTATCCTTTAAATCCAGGAGCTTGTATTTAAAATAGATTTATCTTTTTTTTTTAAGTTCCTACACTGCTGTGAGAACTTGGAGGGGAGTTGAAATGCTGTCCTTACCACGCCCTTCTTGCAAGAGAATCAATAACTGGGTTTAATTCTCCATTCCATTATTATAAAGATTAAATGAAAAACTTGAGGATTTTCATCAGCTGAGGACAGTTTGTATTAATCATTACAAGCTGTATTGATTCAAAACCATACACTATGCAACAATGATTTCAGGGGTATAAATTTAAGGTGTTATTTTTCCACACATCATCTAGACTGTTTAAAATATATTAATTCATATTTCTGGGTTTAATGCCTGAAGTTTCTTCCAAGATTTTCTACATTTTCGTGATAGTAAAATTCCACTAGTTTCCTGCTTGGAAACCAAGTAAATGTTATGTTGTTCTGGCTCTTTTATCAGTGCTTAATTCCGCCAGCATGTTATCACAAAGCCGTTTGATTCATTAGTAACAATAGAGAGGAGGAAATAAATACATTTCATTTGGAAAGAGAAACAGAAATTCCAGCAGTGGTCACACATTTGAGCTGCTTCCAGTAGGAAATACTGAGGTTGCAAAATACAGTGTTTTCCCAGCTTGTGAATAAAGCTGAAAATTGAGAGGCTTTATACACATTACATTTTGACCTTAGTTTTTAATCAGCTGAAGTTAAAATGCTTCATTTGGAATGTTATAGCTGCACAGTATATGAATACAAGATGCAGTAAGAGGGTCATTACTCAGAGAAGAATTCCAGGCATGCTGAAACCCTTCAGCAATATTTTCCCATGAAAATTCCAACACAATATGTTTATGTTTCACTTCATCAGCATTTTTCCACCAAGCCCGTCTCTAACAAAAAACATTTCCCTAGATTTCTCTGTGGAAGGAAATTAGATGTCAAAGTGCCAGACCTGAAGGCAAGACTCTCTGCAGCACACAGATTTTGAGCACACTTAAAATTGCAGATTGTGCCCTAAACTGTGGCAGCATGATGTGTGGGAATTGCTGTGTTTTCCCAGAAAGCTTCTTTCAAGGGAATACAATACAAGCCTGGAAATACAAGTGGAAAGTGAGGAATGACTGCAGAGATGGACTGACATCCTGAGGCTAGGATCAACTCTTATTCCATGGACCACCTGACCCACTCAATCAAGGCAATGTCAGACACTCCCCAAGATGAGAGTGCCCTCGGGGCACAGTCCACCCAAGCACTGCAGCACCAACAACCTACTCTCCTCTGTGGCTCCTCTGTCCAGCTTCTCCTCACTCACAAACCAGGGCAGCCAGAGGCAGAGACATGGCCTCTGGCATCAGGCAGCCAGGAGCTCCCTGTGAAGGGACAGCAGGATGGGGATGGTCAGTCTGACCAAGGGTGCTGAGCCCAGAAGCAGCAGGAAGTGATGCCCCAGCCATCAATTGTCACCCACTTTGCACCCCCTGCCCACAAGTGCTTTGGGTTGAAGGATGTTGTCTCTGAGGGGAATGCACTCTTGCAGGAGGGGACATGCCACAAGGAGCTGCCCAGAGGCCACCAGCAGCCTGCTTTTCTGGGCCTGTGTGCCTTAACAACACATGCATGGTGTACAGGTCTCTCCCCTCTGTCTCTAACACTATGTTACTGCTCAGGTTAAAATTTTGCTGTTAAAACATGGGGAGTATTTGAATCTCTAGGAACATCATCTACCACAGTGCTCCCATGGATGGTGTTATGCCAAGACAGGGAAAGCTCACAGGGAAGCTACACCTTTGCATAAATTGTTGAGACTAAACCAGAACAGAGGTTTTTCACAAAGAGTTTACATAATGTAAAGGGGATTCTTTACTGTCCAAAACCATTGTTTTGGGCAAAGGAACTGGGGCACAGCCACGTTTTATCTGCTCCTTCCATGGGCTCCTGAGCTGCTCACCCAAGGGGAGCCATTCCAAAGAAAGAAGGGCATTAGAAAACCACAAGGACACAGGACCAAGAACAAGGACAGTTCTGCCTCTGAACAAACTCCTTTGTCAGGTGTACCAAATTACTTTCTTCTTCCTCCAAAGCTACTTCTTGGAAGACAGCCCTCTCCTTCTTCCTGGTGTTTCAATGCCTCCATTTATTCACAGTGGGATGTTGTCTAGCAGGGTCATTCTCCCTGCCATGACCCTGCTATGCTTACTGTGAAAGAGAAGCAATTTGTCTCCTAGGAACATCCCTAGCATTCAGGAGTTTCCCTCATTTCCTGGAGATCCTGGAAAAGTCCACAGCCTCCCCACATGACTGAGACTCTGTCTTCCTATCTTGGAAAAACTGTAACTCCTTTGTCTTTGGGATTTTCCATTAAACAAGTGAATATCTTGGACAATTTTTTTTATTATTTATCTGTTGACTTAAATCTTTATCTTGCTATTTCCCAATTCTTCTGCCTATACAGAAAAAGTCTTCATAATAAGCGGATTGTGTGTCTGACCTGAACAATAGTTGTTTGGTCTTGAGCTACCCAGATGAAGTCAGACTATTAGTACTACAAATCAAATGACTTTGCAAGAGTCCAATTACATTAATATTCCAATTCCAGCAATGCAGTGATGTCCCTGCTTGCTTTGCAGGACACTACACAAACACAGTCAGGCATAGACAATGGAAACTTTGTGCTCAGTAGCATCTGCTATATGAAATACACTTGGTCCTAACAGGCAGGCAGATTGCAGGAGAGAAAGAATTTTCACCTCTTGTTTCCAGCACATGCAGGTACTTTCCACCACTTTGAACCAAAGGCATGAAATATGACAGAAGGGAATATTAATCATGATGATAAAACATGCAGAGCATGGCACAGAAAGGTGTTGGCTTCCTAGGCTATAAATCCATGCAAAATCACTTTGTGAAGCTATGCTGCAGTCTGACAATATGTTCCTCCACTCACACACAGCACCTCTGATTTCATCAGCAATCAAAGAGCAAGTCTCTATTCCAAGCAAGGTAGGTTTTTTTGGAGAGAGAAAGCAAACCAACAAATAAACAAAACAAAAGGGCCTTCCCCTCACATTTGACATTGCAGCTGCCATTGCCATCACAGTCATATACAAGAGGTGACTTTGTCTATTGTGCACAGTTAGATGTTTATCATCCTGTGGAAAATGTATATTGATTCTTATTTCCTAAGGAAACAAGACAGCACAGCCAGAGGTTGCATGTATCTCTGTATTCACGCGATCCCATAACCTAACGCACAAGAGTGGATCTTAAGCCAGTTTTAACCAATTTTAAAGCTAGTTTTAACCAAACCGACAGAAGGTGTCTCACCCAAAATAGTACACCCTTACACACTTCATAAACATACACGTCTGAGGAGAGGCTAGACCTTCACTGCCCCTGCTAAGGAAGAGACCACAGCATGAACTCAGCCTTTATTTCACAACAGAGACTCCACCTGGCAGCTCAGTCTGAAGGTACACAAACAAGGTTTCCTTGCCTCTGGTGCTCACCCAATCCCCTGAACTCTCCAGATAACCTGTGTGTGTGTGTGCAAGAGCAAATAAAGCAGCACAAATATTTAATACAGGCAGCCTCTCCTATAGCAACAGATGAAACAAAATTTCTTCCCTACAGCGACTCCTGGTCCCAGGCTGCAACCTTTTGCCTCCTGAGATCTGTACTGCTCTGAACAGGCCACAGATTTTGGAGCAAAAGGGAAAGAAGAAAGGTTCTTCCATTCTCTTCCTGAGTGTGTTTGCTTGAGTAGCTTTTCTCTGCTCAGCCACTGATTTTCATCCAGTTTTGAAAGAGTTAGTCTGAGACTTCTGTCCTTCTCTGGATTTGTCTGAAACTGAAGGAATTTGGTTTACAAGGAGATGACAGGCAGATGGATTTGCAGAGACGCTGCATGGTTCAGCAGCCATGCTAAAGTCCTAAGGACAATTTCCCCACAGAATTGGATACTGCTCTTTCCCCTGCCCTGAACACTGAAACAAAACATTGGATGTGGTATAAAATTTTTCACTTCCTCTCTTTTCCCTCTGATTGTGAGGACCCCATTTCGAACTGACCTCAATTTTCACTTAATTAATAACCTACTTTGCTGCTCCTTTAGAA